GGCTCGGGCCGTACCTCGCGCTGAAGGGCTTGGTCGGAGAGGCGGCCGGCGAGGTGGGGTAGTCACTGCGTCGGGGAATTGCTGCTGCAGCTCCAGGTTGTTCAGAATCAGCCGGTTGCCGTCGTAGGCGACGCTCAGGCTGTTCGTGGTCTCGCGAAGTTGGAGCTGATCCAGGCGGCCAGCCGGGCGCCCGTGTAGGCGCCCTCGGGCAGCAGCGCCCAGTTCAGAGTGCCGCGGCGTCGACCCAGTAGAGGTACCGGCCAGGAAGCTGTCCGCGATTCTGATCTTGTAGACGGCCAGCCTGGCATCGCTCTGCAGGTGCAGGCTCTCCCAGGTCGACCTCGAAGTCGCTGTCCAACGCTCTTCCGACTGTCCACGTAGATAGTTGTCATCCTTTTCTTTAGGAAGCCGCCCGTTCGACGAATGATGGGGGACTGGACGGCTGCGACGGAAGTACAGCAGGAGATGTTCTCACATCTCGCGTTGATCAGCGAGGAGCTGGCGAACAGCTTCTGGCCCAGGAAGCTGAGCGCCGCTCCTCGGCGTCTTTTTCAAGCGCGAATCGCGCTTCGAAGCGCTTGTAGAACATTTCGTTCTTCGGCTTCAGGTAGTACACGAAGAGGAAGCTATAGGGTTCTCGGGTCGCCTCATACATCCTGTGCAGCTTGTCCTTCGGCAGGAAGTTCAGGTCTTCGATGACGGCGTCCAGCTCGTGCTGGTGGCGCAGCCTCCAGCAGCATAGGAATTGCTGATTCACCCGCACGGCTGCGCTGATGAGCCTCAGCTTCTGGGAGCTCACCCAGGTGCTGATTTGCATGTGCCGGCCTCGGATGAAGAGCGTGTCAAGGGCGCCGTGAGGCTTGTGCAGCTGCGGCGTGTCAGCAAAGTCGTCGATGACTACAAGCACCTGTGATCTTGCGCTGCTGCTGGATGACGGCCTGCTCGCGCTCCACGTTCACCCCCAGGTCCTCCGCGATGTACTTCTTAACTGGGATCCAGCCGTCGTCGATGTTGACGGACGGGCTGAAGATGTAGATTTTCTCAGAGACGCTGCGATACTGCTCCAGAATCATGCTGATCAGCGCCACGATCTTGCCCGATTTGGAAGGGCCAAAGAAGATGCCGGTGCACGGAACCAGGGGCACCACGGGGTCCGAGGGTTGTTTGCTGCTGTACTTGTTAGTGGGGAAGAGCTTGATCTTCCCCATTCGTCCTTTTGCGTTACTTCCAAATTCGAAGCCGGGAAGCCGGGCGGCGAGTCCGGGAGCGAATTGGGATTCCGCAGGTCGCTCCCAGAGTTTTCTGGGAAAAGCCTAAAGGCCGGCATGCGTCTGAAATACATGGGAAGCAAATCGCGGCTAGCTCCACGCCTGTGTGCTTCACTCGCCCTTCTTCGGTTCCGGAAAGCTAGAGTACTACCTTGCCGCCCGGCGCCCGGGCCTGGAGGTGCGCGGCGTCGACGCCTTCGAGCCCGTCGCAATCCTGCGCCACTGCTACTTGAGGCAAGACCCGGTCTTCCTGCGCTCCTTGCTGCGCCTGGTGGGGCGCAAGGTGGACAGGCGCTTCTACTTCAGGCACCTCCTGCCGGGCGCTCAGAGAGGCCGTGCCGGGCGTCGGGCTGCCTGCTCATACACCCTGCTGCGCAACAGCTTCTCGGGAAAGTGGGGCTCCTTTGCGCAGCAGCGGCCGCTGGCGCTGAGCAGCGTGCGGCGTCTACCGACAAATGTGACCGTGCGGCGCCAGGGCGCACTGGCCTATCTACGAGCACTGCCCTGTCAGGCGCCCCGACATTGCATCTATGCCGACCCTCCCTACATCTTCCCCGGTCGCAGCATGAACTACTATGGTACGAAGGGGCGGGGGCACGACCTGGCCTTCCACTCAGAGCTCCGTGACGCACTCTTCGCGAGCGGCCTGCCCTTCGTCCTGAGCATCAACGACGTGCCAGAGGCCTGGGAGCTCTACAGCCGGGCTGACTCCATTATGAGCCTGTGCTCGGGCAAGAACAGTTCCAAGCCCGAGCTGCTGGTGCTGCATCGGGGCAATCCTGTGTTCAGCGCAGGAATGGGTGGAGCAATCCTGCGTCCGACGCAGGATTGAGTGGAGCAATCCTGTGTTTGGCGCAGGATTGAGTGGAGCAATCCTGCGCTGGCAACAGGATTGACTGAAAGGCGACTCCGGCAGCGATGCTGCGAGAACCGCATCACTCCCGGGCAGTGCCAGGCCCGCGCCAGGTCCGCGCTAGGCCCGCGCCAGGCCCGCGCCAGGCCCGCGCCAGGTCCGCACCAGGCCCGCCGCACCTTGCTGCAGTCTTGACCCTGCGACGCTCGAGGCTTTGGATGACTGGGTGTCCCTGACAAGGTTCAGGCCAAAGAGGTGCTGACCCCTGACGCTTGGCTTTTTGCTTCACACTGCATGCCGTGAGGAACACTTTTGCCTTAGCCAGCAGCGATGCTCCGCCAGCTGATGCTTGACCGCTTAGCGCAGCCGCAGTTTTGGGTGGCTGCGCTCACCACAGCACGCCCAGCTTTTGCAAATGCCGACCACTACGAAGCGGGAGCCGACTCCTTGGCCACTGGTGAGCAGGTGGTGCAGTGGTATGGCAGAGCCGGTCCGGGCGACTCCTTTGGCGGCTTCGATCTCCATATGAGCCTCCGTGCTTCTCCAAAACCAGCGTGACCTTACATTTGATGTCCAGGAATACTGTGGCCTGGTGGGGCCAATGGCAGCTGGATCGGCACGGATCTAGGGTGGAGGACAGGAGGTCCACACGTGTCTCACCCGAGCTGATGAAGAAGAGCAGGTGGCAACCGTGAAAAGGGCTGTCTCCCAGGACATACGATTTGGGGCAAGCAAACGACTTGCAAGCCCGACTGCGGCCTTGAGGGCGAGGTGCTCGGGAGCTACTTTTGGTGCGATGCGCAAATAGCGCAAAACTTCGGCGAGCGCACGCATCTCGATCCAAGCATCCTGACATATACCGCCTGATCGATGCGGTCAGCAGTGTTCGGCAATCCTAAAGGACGAAAGTTATCAGCGTAGGGCCTGCATCAGCCTTAGGAACTGCGCCAAGTCCACGGTCTGAGCATGGCAACCACACAAGGCTTGTTTGAGGACGCCTTCTACGCGCCTTGATCCGTGCGCAGGCACCAGAAATGTTCGCCTTGGTGGCCCTGTTTTTCTCGCTTGGAAAAGGCGGTGGCCGATGAGCAAGACTCCCGCGTTTTGCAAGGCACCTTTCTTTTGCCGAGGAGGGTTGTGATGAAATCCTCCAGCTTGACCAGCTTTTATGAGTGGGATGGTATCGTGGGCGGAATTTATCTCCCATCCACAAGGCATCCTGGAGTTGGAGCATAGCTTTGCATTTGCGATCCTGCATGGCGCCGCTGTACGCCGATCTTAATAGCCCTTCAGGCGCGGGATTGGGTGGTGGCGTTGAGAGGCACGCGGGAAAGTGAAACAAGAACGCGGGGCTGCGCATGGATGGCAAGAGCAGAGAGGGCCCAACTAGGTCCACGCACATGCGTGCGAAACCAAGTGCAGGCACTGAACAAAAAGTTTCACTGCAGACCCCACATTGGATGATGTTTGGACGTGTCGTGGCGTTTTCATGCCCATGGTTTGCAGTTGACTTTTTGCATTTCTGTACGCACAAGTGAACGCGGTGTATGTAGTTCTTTCTTGGGTCCATCAATATTTTGACTTGAATTAGATTTATGCAGTTTGTCAGACGTTCCGAAGCTCGTATCATCCTGGTGCGGTCACGATTTGCTGAGCTTTTGACCTGGTCGCTTGGTTGAGGCTTTTGTCTTCCGAAGGAGCGTCAAGGTTTGTCGATGGTTGTTGCGCTGAAGATATTTTTCCGTGTTCTTTTTTTGTTTTCGTGTTGTTGTGCTGTTTGTTGTGCAATTTTGCTGTTTTTTTTTCATTGCTTTTCTTTTCATCTGCTTTTTTGCGCTGAAACAACGGACCTGCGTGATCGCAAATGGCCGCATGGAGCAAAACATGTATCATTGCGCCGGGCAGACTTGCGGAGCCAACTTGCGCATCCAGCAGCGCAGATTCACTCGCGAAAAAATTGCTTGCGCAGAGGCACACTTCACAAAACCAAGTTTCGGAAAGCCATCTTGCGCAGAACCAAGTTGCACGACCCTGCTTTGCAGAAATTGTGGCCGTCTATTGTGCGCCATGTGCTTTCATGACAGAGCGTTGTTTTTTGTCCGGCCCGGGAAGGAACTCGTTGCTGTTGGCAAGTTTCTGTTTTTCTTCTGCGGCTGGAGGAGCGCTTGGGCTATACCACCTGAAGGTTCAGATTGCGGGCTGCCAGTGCCTGCCCTAAGACTAGTTGGTGTTTACAGGAAGAGCCTACAGTTTGGGCAGCTAATTCTGAAACACTTCCGAACAAACTTGAGCAGTCAGAGCAAACCATAGACTTCATATACCGGCCAACTATGAGGCTCATGTTCCGGGCTCTTGAGCATTTGTGTTATGTTTGTTGGTTCTTTGGATTGACGATTTAAGTTTTTAATATTGTTTTTGCTCATTCTGTTGGCTTCCAGTTTGCCCGGCAAGGCTATGAGTTGGTTTTACGTCTGTGTGAAACTTGAACAGACAAGTTTGTTGGCTACCAACTGCTGTGATGGTTTCCTATCCCAACGTTCAAAAGCTTTATTTAGGATTTGCACAAGTCTTTGATGTTCATGCTTTGAAGGTGCAGGAACATGTGGTGAGAGACGCGCATGCCGCTGCATTATCACTGCGTAGCATGCCAATTTCAACAGCAAGAGATCAACTTCAATCCAAAATGTACCACAGAAAGTATTCGTCATGGAAATTGGTCAAACACATTCGTCAATAGGAGTGTCTCATCCGGTTGCTTCGCCCCAGACTTCTTGTTGATGCAGTATGTCCTTGGCAAATCTATTCCCGTGTGTTTCTTCTTCTAGACTGTTGGGTGAAACTTTTGTCATGCAAATCGGACAACTGTTCGCTAGCCGTCCATTTTTGGCACTTCCGGCTTTCTGTGGGCCCGTTTAACCCGTTTGGCCAGCTTCAGCCATGGCAAATCCGCCTTTGTCATTGGAGTCGCTGAGATCCCTCCCAGAGATCTTCTGCATTCTGGTGGTGTGTGGAGCGACCGGAAGTGGCAAGAGTCGCATCATAGAGAAGCTGGTGGGATTGCCAAAATGACAACTTGACACGGTTTCATTGGACATGGTTGAGCCTGCGAACTGGCAGCCACATTTTTAAATAAACATTCTTCAGAAACGGTGGATTGCCTGCCAGCATCTTGTCACCTGAGACTTGTTTTTTTACATGTAGAATAGTAGGTTGAGACCTCCATCGGAAATGGGATGGGATGCAAAGACTTTATGCTGTGGTAACCTCTGTTACTTTGTCTTTGCACCCTTGAACTCTATGTTGTGAAGAACCTCAAGTTGTGACAAGACTGATACACCGAATGCAGAGATGATATCCGCTTTGGCGCCAGGTGCAGCACTATAGCTTAACACCTAGCAATGAGAAGATCATCTTTGAGGATGACATGGCTGTCTGCAGCCATCCAGCTCTGGGTGAGGGCTACCTGGAGAAGCTTCAGGCAGTGGGTTTGAACAGCGTCCCCAGCTGGCTCAAAGCTGAGAAGTGTTTGAGCCTTGGACAGCAGCAGCGCATCCGCAGTGCGGTTCAAGCATCTTCAGACAGCCGTGGCATTGTCATGGATGACTTCTGCTGCTTTGTCGACAGACAGAATCTGGGCTAAAAGAGTTCGGTTTCAACATAATAATGGCTCTGATACCTGTCTTCAATGTTGCCTATGGCAATTTTGTCCAAGGTGTTCGTACTCATGTGCGGCTTCCATATATCGGCTCGTGAGAGACAACGGCAGCTTGGCTTTTATGTTGTGTGCACGAAAGAACTCTACGTTGTGCAATCCTTTGTTTATTTCGCTTTGCTTAAATGGACGACGTACTTGTTGCGATTGGTGCTGACGTCAAACATGTCCCATTGAGCCGATCAAAGGACTGAAGTTCGTCATCATTGGCACGAGCAGGGCTGACCTCATCCCATACCTCGGAGCTGACATCGTGATTGAAGCTGGCAATGGGCAAATCTTCAAGAACCCTTTGGACTTTGCTGAGCGCAAGATGGCCGTGAAGATCCAGCATGGTGAGTTGAAGTTTTCCTTCGGCCAAGGCTGCAGTGGCTGGAAAGGGCCCTTGGACGACGGACCATTGCGGAAAGGCGAGGATTACGCCCGGACTTTCACAACGGTGCTTTGGCTCGGGTATTTCATTTCCTTTTTCCGTAGCAAGAAACGCCACGCGGAATAGGAATCTCCCCACGCATGGTAGCTTGCTTTTTGTTGTCCAGCCTCACACAATTTTATGAAAAGGGCTTGTATTGCCTGGTGTAAGAAACGCCACATATTAGTTCACTCTTGCTCAATCTGCCAAAGGTGTATTGTTTTGCTATTGGCTGACGTGCTGGACCTGAAGCTAGTGTCCTTTGTTTCACAGCTTTTTCTCGTTGAGGTGCGGTTTGCCACGGTTGCCACAAACTTTACCACGACTGTGAAGCAGACTGAACGAACATCGGAAGCGGCTCATGCTTTCGATTACACCTTCACAGGGACACTTGGCGTGATGAGGCTGGCCCAAGATTTTGAGTGCTGAGTTTTCAAGGTGCCCACCATTCTCAGTCAGTTGGCCGAGGACAATTGCGCAGAAGGTCCACATCATCAAGCAAAACTGCTTGCCAGGCCAGGGGCTGAACTGGATAAATACGGTCTCGAAACTGTCAAGACATTGGAGGGGCCAAGGAACATGAGCATGACACGAGCATGTCCATGCGGATTTGTGCTGAACTCGAGCATGTCTTCGAGCGTACATGATGCCACTCTTGCCATGCAGGAGACTGGCGTATTGGTGCGCTTTGTGGTCCCAGCGGCTCCGGCAAGTCAGTCAATCTTCGAAAGCTGGGTATTGAGGCGGGGTTCTATTCAATAGATGTACGAAGGCACCGATATGCGTTCAACTCTCCTGGCTCCGTGCCGATTCACCGCTCGAACACTTTTCCGTACACTGTCAGGTGAGCATCCAGTGGATACCTGACCAATCAGTCGACCAGCAGGTTGAGCATGTTTCTTGGCACCGTCATGCGAGGTTCCTTCAAGGTTCGACACTAGGATGCCAACCATAAATCTGCAGCATTGCAAAGCAATCTGTAGTGTCATTTGTAATCGGGCTGGCTTGCAAGGGGTTTGTTGCTATTGTAGTTCAACGTGTGTTGTGCTGAAAGGTTCAGACGTATTACAGCAGTACTGTAGTTTGAGAACTTGAACTCTTGGTCTTTCGATTGATCAGCACGACCTTTGTTGACCTTTAGTCCATTTCTGGAAGCGTTGTGCTGTGGGGCAGGCTTTAAGTGTTTATGCAGGGCAAAACAAACAGGATCCTATGGAAGGAATCCTAAGACAGCGCCAATACAGTGCCTCTATGGTTCGACCCGCTCAGACTCCCTGCGACTAAACCCAATTCTGGCATCCGACTCTCTCTGGAGAATTGCTTTCTCATCTCCCCCCCATTGGATTTCTGAGGCATTGCTGGATGTGGTGTTGCTGCAGCTACCGGCCAGAAGGAGGCCCTTCCATGAGCTTTCAGCCGGCGAGAAGATGCAGGCGCAGCGCGCAGTTCCATAGACTGGCTAATTGTCACATGAAAGCTCAGTAGGTCTTTGTTGCTCTGACTTCCAACCTGGAAGCACCCTGGATGAACACTAGTCCTGTTGCAAGCTGTCAGATTGGGACATTTCAGAAAACACACGTCATATTCCAACACTGGAGCTGGTTTTTAACAAGAAATGGATCGTATGTTTTTGAGATTACGCGTTCTTTTTCAGACTCAATCATACAGTCTGACGACTTTCTCTGCATGCTCAGGCAGATCTGGCGCGAAGGTTTGCGCAGCCGTGCGATGGCACGGTGCTGGCTGACGAGTTTACATCTGTGTTGGATCGGCAACTGGCAGCAAGACTTTGTGCTTCGGTAGCTTCATTTGAGTCTTGGCTGCATATTCATCCATGATTGTGGACACAATGTGAACCCCGTCTGTTTCTGAATCTAGTGCTGTGAACGACCTGACCTTTGTGGTGTTTTGGGTCCTGATCAGTGTTGGTGGAATGGTTCTCATAGCAAAGAGGCTATGAAAGAGTGGTTCCGTGTCAGCCTCTTTTCTTGCAATCTGTGTTGCTTGTGAGACTTCATGCTACGGAGGGAGATGTGAAGGGCTGCGCCAGGTTGATTCCGTGGTATGAGTCATGAAATGCACATGGCCAATGGGGTTGGATTTGTCTCAATGTGCAGGGTTTCACAGGGTCGGTACTTTTGTGGCGTCAACGCAGTCAAGGGGGAGCACACTAGGACGCAGGCATGGTTCAACATGTAAGATGACTCCAAATCAGCTTGCGCCTTCAATTGGTGATACCATATCTTTGGATGCACAGACGTAAGCATCTCAATTTAGTTCCCACGGGGTATGAAAGAGCTCGCAACGCAGCCTTGGGCACATACTATATTAGGATAACTTCATACAACGCAGATCTCCATGTTTAAAACTAACGTCTTTTTCAAATTTTGTCTTGCCCATGGCTAAGATTCCCAAGACGTGTATATTTGGCTTGACACTGGCCAAATGACGTGGGGGACATTTGTAGTTGTGCGTTTCCAAGGGAAACAGTGTTCCGAGGCACACCAAAGCAACCGGTTGATGACAGCAAGGATTTAGAAGATGGGAACTTCTCTGAGCTTAGTGGAAAGCGATCAGTCAGATTTCGTACCAAAGGTTACCATCTGGGGTCATAGTAAGCTGCATTCGCTTTCGTTTGCCTCTTAGGTCACAGAACTCAGCTCATCAATATTAGATTGGTTGACATGTCATGAGTGCTCTTTGGGTGAACAACTCAGCTCAAAATGGCTGTGATAGAACTCAACTCACCAAGACCTGCCAATATGTCAAGGGATTGATAGTGGTCGTGTTGTCAACCAGCCTTTCTTCGGACTGCCAGTTGCGCGCATCGTGCAGTTGATCTCAATCGGAAGGGGTCCTGTATACGGTGTTCTCTTGCAACGCGGTTCAACTGAGCTCAAGTAAGAAAAGCAATCTAAAGCTTTCCAATGCCTTGGCAGTGTCTCTTGTATTTACAGTCCATTTGTTTTGTTTGTGTCTATTGCCCAGGTGCGGGAGAATCGTCTCCAACTGGTTGTGGCAACCATCCAGATGGATGTGGTGAAGCACCTCCAAGCCGATTGGTGTTTCAGATCGGACTATGCAGAGCTCATGACCTTCAGCGGTACTTGTGATCGCTTGGAACTTGGGAAGTTGATGTTTTGCCGTCCAGTCTTGTTCACACCGTCCTTTTTTTACAGCACACATATGGAAGCTGTGGCTCAGTTTAACATTGGTGCATGTTGCCATTCAATTCCGATGATTTCCACATGCCAGCTCTGTAGTTCTTTTCTTGCAACTTGAGCTTGGAAAATGACCATCCCATGCTATGTCAACATGCCAAGGTCCCTTGCCACCTGAGCTGCCAGAAGTGGAGTACTTCCGCCCGCCACTGCGGACCTTCACCCTGACCCAGCTGGGGGATTCAAAGCGCACGAAGGAGGTTTTCAAGGCCATGGCGCCGGCTTTTGGGAGATATATGTGGGCATGCCCGCGAAGGCTAGGTAACAGAAGCCTTGAGGATTTCATGGCAAAGAAGGTAACGACCATGCCAGGCATCCTACATTTAGAATGCTGAGTCAGGATGCCAATGAGTGAGCATGGAGTGTCGTATCAAGGGTTGTTTTCGCTTGAAACCTGGCCTTGGCAGGCCAGCTTTGAAGAGCATCACTACCTGAAGCAGGGGTTGCCTCTGATGTGGGGCTTGCTTGTGCGCGATGAAGAGCAGTGTCTTGCCTACAATTTGAAGCGCACTCTGCACTTCACAGCTTTTCTGTCCCAGCCAGCATTTGGGCAACCAGTGCATCAGGCCATGACTCTAAGGATCCCAGTTGGGTTTCATGCCATTGCGTGGCAGACGGGTTGTGGAGCCCCTCGTGAAGCGCGCGTGGTGATTCTTCCAGAATACCAAGGAGAGGGTTGCGTCTGCTTTTGAGGTGCGTTCAATCGCAGCCCATGTTCCATGAGGGCAATTCTTCTTTTTCTTTCCGGTGCTATCCAATGTTCCGGCGGATTCCGGCGTGCAGGCATGGGACTGGGCACCCGCTTGAGCGACTGCGTAGGGAAGCTCTGTGCTGCCAGCGGGTTCAAGCTCATGGCGAAGACCAAGCATCCGCGCCTAGGAGGCCATGGCATGAAGCAAGTGCACGACCATCTTGGAAGTGCGGTTCGTGTCGCGTGCTGGCACACCAATCGTAAGAAGAACCTCGAACTGATTGGACTCTTCATCTTTTGATTGGAAGACATGTCAATGATGAACGATGCTGCAGGCTACAGAAACAGTCGATCCGACTTGTGGCGACCCAGCACGATGAATGGGAAGATCTGCAAGGGCTCCCTGAAATCCAGCCTCTTGGTGCCAATGAGTTTGCGCGCCCAATGAGTCCCAATGAGCTTCCTGTCATGGGAAACAGGGTTTAGGCTTGGATTCTTTTAAGTCTTGCAATGGACTTGGAGTCTTGTGGCCCGGTCTGCCTTGGGGGCGTGAAATGGCCGCCACAGTTCATGGAAAAAAGATGACATGTCGAATGGTCTTGGCAAAACTCAGAAAGTGTTGCTCTCTCCCAAGTATTGTTTCGATGATTGCCGCTGACTGCTGCAAGGTCTTCTCGACATGAAAGCAAGGCAGAAACAAGTGAAAGGGCAACAGCAGCTGTCCTTCGCACCTGCCAAAGAGAAAGAGGCCAAGGCCGAGAAAGAGGTGGAAGAACCTCGCAGGTGCTTCTCACATGCGCCTTGGCTGAATTGGTGGACTTTGTCGCTGCTAACATGGCTCCCAGTTTGTGTCAGCGTTTGGTTCCTGTGAGACTAGTTGTACCTTGTCCATGGGCAGTTTCAGTTGGGGTACCCCAGATGTATATCGGAGACGAGCTGCCGCTGGAGACACCTCGAAAGCGAAAAAGCCATGATGACGTGGAGCAACCGTCGCAGGAGAAGAACAAGAAGTGGCTTGGTTATTGCAACAGACATAGGTTTATTCCTGTGTCTGGCAACGGTATAGCTTTGACATGTCGCTTGGTTCATGCGGCGTTTTTGTTGCCCTGATTGGTTGGATTGGCACTGTAGCATGAATGGTAGCTCCAATGGGCCTGCGGACTTTGAGCCCATGCACCCTGGAATAGTAACAGTGTTGGCTTTTCGTCCGCTTGTCAGAAGTGTCCATGGAGAAGTTTTGCAAGCTCAACGTTACTGGTTCTTGTGATTTGATCTTGTGCTGTATCTTTCTGATCCATCTTACAAGTGCCTCTGCAAACATTCACCGGAGAGTTTTTCTTTACTCTTTAGAGGAAGCTGTGCAACATTTGGTCCCTTCGAATGGTCGAATGCAGCCAAGGCAAAGGGGCCGACCTTGCAAGAAGCCGCAGGATCCACCGAGGCCAAGAGGCAGACCACGAAAGAAGGCAGTCGGAGAAGTCTAAGGCCATCTATGGAGTTGTCAATGTGTGACTTTTATAGACATGGCTGTGGGTCAAAACCAATGGTACCATTTTGGGGTAGGTGCACCACCCATTTTCGTCTAATTTAGTGGGGATTGGGATGTTCACTGAGGGTACGGGATTTTGACCCATGGCCACATGGGGAGAAAGTTCCGAAGGAGCTGATATGTCAGACATGTCCGAGTTTCCGACCTTGGATTAATGTCAAATGACATGTCATGAATTTCATGGAGCAGAATCACTGGGATTCGTGGCTCTATGACTTTAAATGAATGGGGTCATGGTGAAAAAAAACTTGGACCAGCATTGAGCACCTTTGACCCGTCGTTTGACTGGACCATGGCATTACAGCCTGCAGCATTTCAGTGGGAGCGAATCAAAACAAAAGATGAACAACAATCAAACCGTCCTGAACTAAGTCTCTTCTGCAAGTGATTTCTCCATACCTTGTTGACAGGGGACCTGAAGATGAAAAATGTTCATGCGCCTGGGGCATGCAGTCGTTTTGATCAGGATGCACTTTGCAATTTTAATTCCATGCCCACTCTGCTGCTGTCGTTGGGCATGGCCGGAATGGTACACCAAACGAAGAGCGCAATGGGCAGCATTACCAGGAATGGTTGACGAACTCCTCGCTGCAATTCGCGGCTACTCGGCAAAATGGCCACCCTTGCAGTGTGACTTTGTCCACAGCAAGAAAGGCAAGAGGTGCCGGCTGAGGGCTGCAGCATTCTGCACCAGATGCAAGACGCACCTTGATGTTGGAGATCGCGTGCAGTGCCCCCTCGATCCATCGCATACAGTGGAGCGCTGCCACCTAGAGCGACATTTGGCTACGGCCTGCCCCAGTCTGAGAGACGCGCAGTTTCTGAGATCTCAGCCATTCTTCCGGGCGGGAATCAATCGCCCGCCGCAGCGCAGCTCTTCACTTGACGTCGGTTCGATGGATCGGGATGCGTGGATCGCCAGGATCGAAGCAGTGTTTCCAAAGGCCGTTTGCCAGGCTTTGGGCTGGGACCCATCGAGCGACGTTGAGCCCATAGTGCAGCAGTCGCTGAGTGAGGCAGCCGGGGAGATTGGGCATTCTGACAAGCACGGCCTGCAGAACCAATCTTTGTGCCAATTAGCCTCCGACGCTTGTCCTAGTTACACAAGAGCATGCACGGCACCAGCTCTCACTCGCAAGCGAGCCTCTGCGAGGAAGTGTGCGGTGCAAGGCTTTCAGAGGCGATCATGGTGGAGTACGGCTGCGGACGAGGGGCTCTCTCCTTGAGTCTGCTGCAAGCTCATCCCGAGGCCTTGGGGCGCACCAAAAGTCTTGGAGCAGATATCTTTTTGTAGGGCTTGGTGGAGCAGCTTTCTGGCATTTGTCACAGTGCGAGCTTTTCCTGCATATGCCGCAAGCAGTGAGGGCCAACCATTTGAAGGGTCTCAACGTGCCATGCTGTCCCTGTGCAGGCCTTGAGCGTGCTTGTGGATCGGGACACACGCCGCCACCGTGTGGAGCAGCGTCGGGAGGGCCACGAGGCTCTGCTGGATTCCTGGGGTGGAGATAGAATTTGAATCGATACCTGTCGATACCTGTTGATAACTTCAGGCTTGATGACGACTTGTGTACGGTCCATGTTGCGCAACCTGTCAAGTGTCCAAACCGAGTTGACGGTGGCCGTCCTTGTGGAGTTTTCAAGTCATTGAAGTAAGAATTTGAGGCATCAGCCCTCATGGTGTGCGCGATAGCTCGAGACAGTGAATATGAGCATTCTCACGGCGATAGTGTTCGCGACCGCTGATGTTTCCTATGTTTGCCCTACCCTGATTGGCTGAATGCGCACTGCATACGTGTCACCTGTCTCACATGTCCACAGCAATTGCGCATATGAGGCTTAACTTGAAAGATCGATTTATTTGCGATCCATCGTTTGTTTTATTTGGGGTCTCTGGCAAAATTGGGAGCCTCCGGGACTAGAGAGGATTTGAGAGTATTGGGGGCTTGGGCAGCTACCCCATTTGAACCCCCGCTGCAACAGATCGGCGACGGCGCTGCGTGAGTTCTGTGTCCATGGAGATATTGGTTTCATTATTTTGTAACTCCAAAGGTATATGTTGTTGCAGGGGACTTTTTTTGTTTTTGTTTTTGTTTTTTAGTGTTGTACGTCGCAGACGCCTCGAGTCTTGGCAGCTCATGCATATTTCACTGAACACATCCCTTTTGTTGAGTAATTATGGGGTCCCGGTTTCTATTCAATGCAGTCCTATGCCTTGTGATACAAGGGAATGCGGTTGAGAAGCGTTTGCGAGAAAGAAGTGGTTCCCGCTCAGTGAACTCAGGTTTTGACTTGTCAGCACCGCAAAAAGATGCATCCGCAGCAGCTATTTCTTTTTTTCGCCGGCGATAGGCACCACAACGCACAAAAGTTCAAACATGCAGGTGCTACGCCTGCGGATGGACATTGCGGACTTCGACTTGGGAGCCTTGCTATGGGAGGAGGCCGCAGCATTCTTTGCACTCTTGAACTTTCAACTTGTTTGGGTTCAGAGTTGGTCCTGATGCGCAGTGTACTGTAAATGGAGTAGGTCTGCGCCAGGCAAACTTCATTGGCCTCAGTTTACGAAGCCATGTCGTATACTGTTTGGGCCCGGACATGCTTGTCGCTGGGCTGCCCCTTGCCCATATGGTAAGTGGGCTTTGCAGGTCCCGGACACGGATGCAACGTCTGCTGCCTTTGCGCGCTGCGCACGCAGTGCACAGCGCTCGCGGCATTTGCATGTCATTGCAGATAGGCTCAGGACAGGGCTTCGAAACATCAGTCTCATTGCGTGGTTTTTGTTGTTCTTGTCCAGGACGCCGCCCTTTCCTCCCAGAGGTGGCCTGCTGGTTTGTGCTAAGAGCCTCGTTCTGGTTTGCATTCTGCTTCAAGCTCAACTCATCGCTCATTTCTGCGCCCAGACTCCGCACACACACACACACACCAACAGCCGACTTAGATCCTCCGAGGGGACGAGCGTGGATGCCAAAGCGACGGCGCTGGTCCAACATTGCTTTGGCCCTTGCTGTTTCCCTACCCAACTACCAGTGTCACCACAACGCTGGAGGCTTCTGCAGCATTTCCGGTCCTGAGAAGTCAAGCCAGAGCATCTTAACACAAAAGCATCATAAAGTCCAAACAAGCTCGTCCAAGGTGTAAATAGCGCTGTCTCAAACCCAAGCACAATGCCTCAAGCGAAAATGAGAACAAAGCCCAACCAAACCCGGAACAGCTCAAGTCCTGGATGGCCTCAGATGCCTCAAGCATGTGATTGTTCTGCGATTCGTTCATCGGACGATCCAGCGACATGATTGTTGATCTCATGCTCGGTTTGCTTTAGGACCCACTTCATGCTGCTTCGTTCGATTTTTGTGGCGGGGGCTGCGTCATGATACGGGAGCATCGATGGGGGCTTCTAGTGATGACATGGGGGCTACAGTATGTACGGATGGGGTTGCTGTGGGGACCGACGCTATGACTTCGATTCAAGCGGTTCCCATCCCAGGCACCTCTGCGGGAGCGGCACAGACCTTGCGCTGCGGTCCCTACGGGGCACGCGGCGCAGGCCGGCGCCCATCGAGGCATTTGGGGGGCTGCTTTGGGGTTGGGCCGCAAGGTCTGGAGGGGCAGAAGGCACTTGAGGAATGCCCCAACGTGTTTGTTCAGCTTTGCAGGTTGCCGCCAGATTAGTAACGATCATGGCTTGCAGATAGATGTTTGCAAAATGGATCGGCGCGGAGGGGTTGGCTTTGTTTGGCATGGAGAGTTTTAGGTGGTTCCAAAGACTTTGGCAAGCCTGTTGTATCATAGTTTGAGGGCTGAATACGCGGAAGCTTGTCGCGGAAAGCCTTCTTGTGCAAAGGCTCCGCACAAGTGCAATTAAGAATGATTCGCACAAACGTTATTTGTAGCTCCAAAACAATGTCTCGCCGAAGACTGCCATAAGTAAGCTTTCCGCAGGTAAAACCTCACGGGAAGACCGTCTTCCATCTTGTCTTCTCATTTCTCTACTCTCTAGCAGGTATTATAGAACCAAACCTCACTTGTGGATGCTGATGCATTGGCGGCTTCAGGCTTGTGTGTGTGTAACTGTGTGCTTTACTTTTGTTTGTGGGTGTGTGAAATTCTGAAATGTATCAAGCACAAGCGTGGCTCGAAGAATATCAGCTCCTTGCAGTGGGCAGCCTTCCTGGAGCTATTCAACTCGTGCAGGCTGTCAGAGTGGTGTGCTCAGAAGTTTTTCCGTCGGGAGCATACTGGTTGCATGTAGGCTAGCAGCACGTGCTCCAGATTTTGGGGGCATGGTTTTAAGTAGCAGCTTCCACATGAAAGCATTGCTCGGTCTTTTTATTGGAGCCCTCAGCAAGCAAGTCGCAGACAGAGAGAGAGAGAGGCGTGGCTCATGCCAGGTAGGCTTGTGCTGCGCAACTTGCTGCCACCATCGATGCGAATCTCGACAAGCCTTCTACGTTTGACTTTTGAGGGTTTGGAATCAGGAGTTCGGAGCGCTGCGTGGGGCACCGCTTGACTTACGTTACTCCAAGCCACCCTTCCTGAGGCTTCGAGGTTGTTAGGGCCATTTCACACTGGCAAAGGACTTGGACACCTATGTGAATCCGGGCTTCCTCTCCGCTTTGGGGTTGCCCAGCTGCGCTGGGTAGATGCTGGCAGCTGGGGACTGGCGCTTTGGGGTTTTCTCTCGTGGGCTCACCAGCCACAAATGGAAGTTCCAGGGTCCCAGGGTCGGCGAGTGTTGACATTGTATCGAGCTTTTCGCCGAAAAGGTGCACTGAAGGATGCTGATTGGCTCTACATTTAGTCACTTCTCCTGTTCCCCGAAAGGGACTCCTGTGCTTGGATCCCTGACTTGACGAGGCTGACAGACCAGCCCCAGGACTTTGCAGAGTTTGTGTCTGCAGCTGGCTGGGCCGTCGGAGCGGTGGACACTCGCCTTCGACGTGCGGGTGTTATGGCGAAGCGGATCTTGGACTACGGCCGAGTTGCATGGCTCAGCATCTTGGTTGCAGATAACGCAGGGCTTGAGACGAGTTCAAGGTTTGAATTTGAGTAGAGAAGTCGTATTGAGGTATGTGAGATTGGTATGCTGCTTTCGGGCTTTGGACATGTTGCAGATATGCAGCAGCAAACAGGATTCCTAGTTTGCAGCAGCTAATGATTTTTCTGAGAGCTTAAGACAGGGGAGGCTTTGAATCTCGCGCGCAAACAAACTGTGTTTTTGTCGCTCGCAGACCTTCAGACAATGCGGGCATTCCCTTGATTTAAGTGCTGAGGCGCGCGGCAGTACAACTCTGTGGCATGCGCGCCTCATGGCTAAGGACGCGAGCTTGGCTTCGCAGACGCAAAGGTTGTCTCCTACGTGTCCAAAGAAGTGACGCCAGAAAATGTTGCCATTGTTTTCAACGGAATTTCGGCGGGGACAGAAGAAAATGCACTGAGACGCAGAAAGCACAGTCACTAGACAGGGACGAAGAACATCGCAACAACTGTCAACAACAGAGCCAACATAAAATCAATATGAGCACCAGTCTTGCAGACCAAGGATTCGTTGACATGCAAATACCATGTTCTAGTGCGCTTTCTCGACCCTTGAACTCCACTGCCGCATGGCCTGCCAGTCCCCGGCCCCCAAGCAAGAAGCCGTGGGCGACATTCCATTCGTGCAAGGCCTAACCTTCGAATATGTTCAAAGAAGCAGCGTGAGGAATCAAGCTCCGTGTCCAAAGAACGCGATATTCGGTTTGGCCCATGGAGAAAGCAGCAGCGGCCTTCGCGATGGAGACGCCAAAGGAGTGATGCGGCCTCAGGGCCCTGGGTTTGTGGAGTTGTGCGACATGGGTTTCATCAGGCTAGAGTCGTCTAAGGACTGGATTTAACATGGGCGGCTTTAATAAATATGGGCGCAGTAATGCCAGTGTTGCGAGGTTTGGGTCTTACGCGGTTTGCCAATAAGGGACTCTTTGGGTAAATGCGCAGAATGTGGAACATGATGGTGGGACCAGCAGCAACGACGCATGGTGGGCTTGGAGGCTCGCACCGCTTCTGCCTTTGCAATGGGTGCCTTCGGCTGAAACTTGAAACATTGCTGCCTGCAGCATGGAGCCACGGAGGAGCTCGAGAAAGGCCTGACCTTGGAGTACTTGGCGCTACCTTCCCCGATCTCCGGTCGCGGCGGAGTTGTACGTTTCTTTCTTTTGGCCAACAAGGCCAGGAGAAAAGCCACTGAGACAGCTGGCGCACGCAGCATGAATCTGCCTCCAGGTGGTCTTTACGGAGAAGCTGCACTCGTTGGAGGACTGGGGAGGCAGTGTGAAGGCGAAGTACGTGGCAGAGGGCATCTCACCAGCAGGGCAGCTTCCGCTTCTTTGGGTGGGTGAGAGCCCCAATTCAGAGCACATCAGCCTGATGAGGCGGGCGGGTGCTCGAGATTTGTTATATCAAGCGAAGCACTTTTCTGGACCGTGGCAGCAGCAGCTTGATGTCGTGATAGTTCTTGCTGTAAATCCAGTGACTCTGATGTCAGGCTGGTCGCCGGCCTTGCCCAGCTCAAGACAGCGAAGGAAGCCGATTGCTGGAGCCTCTACGTTCAGGACGAATCGCCGAGGGTCTGAGGAAAGTGCGATATTGAGCTTTCAACAAAGGCTGGCATATACATACCGGGTTCAAATCAAAGACAGTTGGCGACATCATTTCGATTCCAATCTACTTCGCGTAATACAGGAAGATTGGCTCCAGGGGGCAAACCTGACTTCTGGGAAGGACTTGTCAGCCTGCATTTACGCTGAATACTTGGAGAACGCAATAAACTCGAACCCGCAGCCCTTCACCTCACTCAGACCAGGACATGGTTGCGGATGCCTATGCGGAATGGCGAGGCGCCTGGGCCTCTGCCACCTTCGGCGGCGATGCTGCAGCCAAGGAGACCTACAAGGCCTCGGTCCAAAACCTTCGAATGTTTCGGCTTGATTCGTTTCGTTTGCTTGGCGAGAAGGCCACCGTCCCGGGCCGCTTGAAGCAGTTTGAGGGCGTCCTCGCCAAGGCCGGCCTCAAGGGCGCCTTCATCTCGGGAGACCTTCCGCTGTGGGGCGATAGCGCCCTCTTCAGCCTCATCTCAGACAATATCGTAACGGGCTGCATTGGAGCAGACGCCGTCAAGGACCCATGCTGGTTGTTCTGAATGGCTTCAAGCCGGTTTTTCCAGTTTACCTGCTCAGCTTGTTCGAGCTGTTGAGGAGTTCCCCCTCCTGCACCAGATATGCACGGCTTACGCGGGCATTGAAGCGGTGGCGAGTTGGTACGGGGCCTCCTTGCCCTGGAAGTGAGTTGCTTGGCCCCCCCCCGTTCTCCTGGTTCCATTTAAGCGCTTGCACAGACTGCGCCATTTACGCAGATCCTTGCGCTGAATGCGCAGAGATGGAAGTTGCGGGACTCCCCGCGGAAGAGGAGGGCGGAATGACAAGACCTTCGCACCTCCGCCCGCGGCCTGGTCTTTCTGAGGTCGGCTTCCCGCGCATCGCTCAGTGAGAAAGGAAGAGGTGTGGTAGGAAGGGGGTGTGGGGCGTCAAAGATGGGGAGAACCGACAGCAGGCAGGAACCCGTTTGAATCATGAGTGTTTTGTAGTGGTCACTATTGAGCCCATTTGGCTCATTTTTGCGTTCGATCTTATTCATCCTCGCCTAGTTTGAAGATTGATTCACCACAGCGCACTGATCAATCATGCTGATGGACTGAGTCATGGTTTTCAGCAGTGGAAACAAAGTGTCATTCTTTATCCACTTGCAAACTTGCGGAATTACGGGTTCCGTGGTTCTGGCGCTCCGCCTCTGATTGGCCATGGAGCCACCACCCTTTCGGCGAATGATGAGGCACGCATGGCGGGGAGTTCAGAGTATTGCGGGCATTTGCAAGCTAGACTAGACATAGAGGCAGTTCCGGGCAGATGCCTTTGATTCCGACTGAGTTCTTGCTGCATACAAGAGTGCTGGGGGAGAATGCGGCAGGCTCTTCGGACAATTGAGACCCGGCCTGCACGCGGACAAGGTTGGACACAAGCTTGCC